ATGAACGAGCTGGGTGGGAGGGTAGCAAGTATAGCTGAGTGAGGGTATTGCCATGCCCCTACAATCACGGGTCACTAGTGGTCTGATGGCTCGGGAGATTTCATCCACAACAGGATACTGGAAAGAGGGCTTTCAGGTGTCATACTCAGCACATGTGTCTCCTTTGCTGCCACCCATCAAGGGTGATGCTACTGGCATCTAGTGGCTAGAGGCCAGGGATGCTCCTTGATACCCTACAACACCCAGAACATCCCCCCATAACAAAGAATCACCTGGCCCCTATTGTGCATTGTGTCGAGGTTGAGAAGCCCTGGCCTAGACACATAGCAGGGACCCAAGGAATATTTGCCAAATGAAGTAATCCAGGAAGTGAATGAGTGAGTGAATGAATGAATGAGCATTGAGGTTCTTGTCTTATGAACATGCCCTTGCAGTTCTCATGATATTGTTGGTCTTTTCTTAGGATACTGTTTCACTTATTTTTCATTCAACAAATACTTAGTGAACACCTACTAGGTGCTTTGGGCTACATGCTGTGTTTACAGTACTGAATAAGGCAAACATGGTCCCTGGTTTCCCAGAACCTAGAGTGGAAAAAAAGAACATTCTGTACAGGACATCGAGAGACTTCAGTTGTCTTCCAGCTCTGTCACTATCAGTCATGTGACCTTGGATGGGTCACTCAACTCTCTGGACATCTACTACCCACATGTAAAATATATGGGTGGCTTTGATTTTGAAGCTCACTTCCAACGTAGAAGTTCTACTCATTTAATGAGTCCCAGAGGATCTTTTCCTCTCTCAAGTTTTTCCAAGAAGATTGACTAATCCACACATCTGCCAACAGGAGATTGGTTGAATAAGTGGCCATTCTGCCTACACAATGGGACACACTGTGACATGCTGAGTAGAAAGAGAAACAGGTGTCTTGAGTGCTCTTACTTTTTTTCTCCAAGTGCTGATTATAAGAAAATGGAATGGATCGCTGCCACACGAAAAAACATGGATGCATCATGCTGAGTGAAAGAAGCCGGATATGTATAACTCCGTGTATGTGACGCTCAAGAACAGGGAAATGGTGCTGACAGAATCAGAATGGTGGTTGCCTCTTGCCAGAGAGTTTAGCTAAAACGGAGCAAGATGGGGCCCTGTGGGGATACTGGTAATGTTCTCTGTCTTGGTTTGTCAAAATCAACCAAATTAAGACCCATGCATTTATTCTGCATAAATTCTATCCCAATGAAGAAAAAAAGAGGGGAGTGACATATGCAATTATGCAGATGGGCATATTGCACAGACGATTTCTGGAACAATACCTAAGAAGGTTATCAGTGGTTGTCCTTGGAAGGGGAATTGGAGGACCAGGAATGGAAAGGAGACAGTATTCTTGGCAGAATCTTGACATTTCCACTATGTGCATGTATTCCCATTTCAATAAAAACGTTTAAAAATATGATAAAGAAAATCCACCCTGCATATAGAAAGGTACATGTCTCTCCAGCTGCTACTGAAAATGTGGGTGTGAAAAGGTTCGATAACAAGACCTTCCCCATGGCTGCCATGCCAGAGGAGGAAGGCAGGAATGGGAGAAAAGACAAGCCATCACCACTAAACCCCTCACTCTGGTACGGCAAGGCTGAGGGGTGGGGAGGAAGCAAGTAGGTCGAGGACCTCTGGGGCAAGTGGGGGGCATGGGGCTCAGGCCTATGTGATCCAGGCACCTGGAGCTCCCCTGAGATGGCCCTTTCCATAGAAATGCTCAGACATGGTGGCTTCCTCCTTCAGAGTGATCCTCCAAAAAAGAACACACACCCAAGGCGGAAGTCAGAGTCCCCTGACACACCCATCTTGGAAGTACCAACCCATCCCTGACACTGTATTGTGCATTCATTTGCAGTGAATCACTAGGTCCAGCCCAGACCCACAGGGACAAGATGATACGAAGCTGTTGCCACTGGGGGCTGGAGAGCACTGCGTCCATCTGAGGGGCTGCCAACCACACCACAGACCATCATGTCAAATCAAAGCAACAGTAGTCCCCTCATGTCATCTAAAAGCCAGTCACATCAAAATGGCTTCAAGTGTCCCCAAAATGCCTATCACATATGTTTGTTCAGGCCAAGATCCAATCAAGGGCCACAGGTTGTTTCATTTGATAGAGAATACCCCTCCACCCTTTTTTAAAATGTTCTTTCATCATGTTGACTTGTTTAAGAGGCAAAACCAGGGGGCTCCCAGTGAGCACCAAGTCACATTGAGGCACATGGGAGCCTAGGGGGCCCTGCTCTGGGATACAGAACGCAGCCTGTGAGGACAGCTACCTAGGGGGAGAGGACCAAGTAACTGCTTCTGCCGCGCCTACTGCACAGAGGCTCTTTCCCACTGAAGGCCAACCTCCCCTATGAGGGCTTTCCTAACCATCAGGAAACCAATGTTTATGGGGCCAGGAAAGATGAGAGAGAGAGAGACCTGGCAGCAAAAGAATGTATGGGAGGGATATAACAAGGTCCCAGACCTAGGGGACACGGCAATGTTTTCTGGCCATTCTAAGCGACCTGCCCTCCACATATACACAGTAAACAAGTCCCACATCTTGCTATACCACTGCCTTCCTGCTTCATGTCTCTCAGGAGTTTCCCAGCCTGTAGACCCACTTACATCCATCTCCCAAAAAGCCAAGGAAGCAGAAGCAGCAAGTACAGCTAGCCCATTTTGCAGATCTGCCAACAGCTCTGGGAGGTGGAGTGATGCAGCCACAGTCACCCTGACAAGTGACAAAGCTGGATTTTTAAATTCAAGGCCTGTACTGAAGCTTAAAGTATGTGACTGTCACCACCTGAAGGAGTATCCAAGTCGCAGGTCGTACAGGCAGGCAGTTTGTGCTGGCCTCCTAGCTGCACAGACATCACCATCACCTCGTCCTCATCACAACCGGTGCCAGCACCAGATGTCATCTCATTTCATCCTCATCACACCTCCGAGCAGACACTGTTATTCCCGCTTTTGCAGACAAGGAAATGGACTCTGACTGCTAGGTCTACCCCAGGGACCGAGTGCATGTGTACAGTGACATACTGCAGGTCTGCTGAGCACGGCAGTCCCAGCAGGTTTCAGTACACGTTCATCGAGTGCTTTTTTTTTCTCTTTCTATAACACTCTCCTTTCTGCCAAGCTAGGTTCCCACCTACAAATGGCGGATCAACAGCCTCCTCTCCCTTTTGACAGAAGCTATTTCTGGAAACTCACAACATAAAAAGACCTTCACTTTGTATTTCCCAATATGTATGACATCATGAAAGGGAATACAATTTCTGACCAAGGGTTTGGCATCAAACAAACCATAGGAAAATGAATTCTAGAATGTTGGAGCCGGAAGAACATTTAGAGATCATCTGAATCAGTGGTTCTCAACCTGGAGCAATGAAGCCCTCGGGAGACATTTGGAAATGTGTGGTGACATTTTTGGCTGTCACAACTAGGGGCGGGGGGGAGGCAGTTTGCTACTGGCATGGAGTAGGCAGAGGCCAGAGATGCTGCTAAACATCCCACAATGCACAGGGCTGCTACCACGACAAAGAGTTATCTGGCCCCAAATGCCAACAGCCTGGAGGTTGAAAAACCCTGAACTAAATCTCTTTGTTACTTTGAGGAAAAGAAAGCTCAAGCCCAAAGATACAAAGTGACTTGCCCAAGGTTACTCAGTCACAAGCCAGAAGTGGAATCCTCATCTCACATGGGACTCTATCCCCTGCTTTGCTCTGTGTAGAATTGGACTGGGAGAGAAAGGACTGGGAGGACCTGGGAATCTTAATTCTTGTAAACAACCTGCACCCAAGGAAGAACATTGCCATAAATAAATTACTAAATTACTGCAGCAATACATCAGGGTGTCCAACTCTGAAAGAAATGCCTTCTTCCATTATTGATGAAAATAGCATTCCTTGACAGGGCCCCTCAAAGTTGCTGGTAGGTCAAAGTAATCCTGATGTGAGTTCCAGTAGTTTACTGACACCAAGGCTTCCAGAAGGGTCAGGTTTTATGGGAAGGAATGCCACATACTCCTCCTAAGGGTGCCCACACATGTCCTGGCTACAGTTTCCTTCCCACACAAGAAAGGAATGTAAACACAGATCAGGCAATCTTGAAAGAATCCATTAACCTCCCCCCATTGTTAAGCTAGAACTGAAGAGTCATCTGACCCCCTCCATCTGCCGCTGAGTCACCAAGCCCCTTCACTCAGCAAGCTCAGTATTCAGCAAGGGCATTAAAGGGAACATGGGAATTCTTGGGTTTTGGTGTATCCCCACCCCCACCCCCACCCCCTGCTAAGGATCATTTTGCTCTCAGGGATGTAATTGTCTTTCACACTCACATGTTATCTGTGGAGGCTACAATTTATTTTATTTTATTGGATACTGTTATTTTTACATCTACTTAAAACACCTGGAAGAAAAAATACATTTCTGATCTATGCCTGTTAAATGCTGCAACCCTGCAATATAATGCAAGTTGATTTAGATTGCACATCTAGCTCTTAAATTGCTAACCAAGAAGTTTCCATTTCCCAGCACGTTTTGCTTTGAAAGAAATGCGGCTAATTACGGAGGGCAAACCCCTGTAATTAGTAAATATGTCATTATTTAAGAAGCATACAATGACAGTGGGAAAACAGTTGACAGTCCTCTCTCAAAAGCCCCTCTCTCCTTAGAATGCATGCAGCGTGGTCACCCCAAGATTTTTTCCCCTCAGGAGCGAGAGGCCCCTATCTTCCTGCCTGGCCCCTGCCCACTTTCTCGGGGTGGGCACGCCAAGACCCCAAGTCACGCGTGGGACTGCCCCAAGCCACCACCCACTCCCCGCTGGGTGCATGCACCGGCCAGAGGCCCCACTTTCGGTTTCTGGGGGCGCAGCGGGCCTGCAGGCCCGAGGACCGGGGTTCCCCTGCATGCCCACGCCGCGGAGGGCGCGGGGAGGGCGTCCGGGCGCCGCGCGCCCCTTACCTGCAGTGCTGCATCGTGCCGGAGGCCGCCCACCTGGCCAGCATCCTAGAGCATCCTTTCTTCAGCACGAAGGCTGCAGGCTCCGTGACGTCACCGGGGGCGGGGCCCACGCTGCCACGTGACGGTTCAGAGAGGGGCGGCGCGGGGTGGGGGAGACCCTGGAGGTCCCAGAAGATGAGGGTCGCGAGGCCGCCCTGGCCTCCCCTTAGGGTGATGCGCTGGACGTGTGCGCCTTGCCCGGTTTTGCACGAAGAATCACGAGAAACAGACAGCACACAGAAGAAATCCACATTATTACAGGCTCCCAGCGAGTAATAGGATTGCAAAAAGAACTAGCAATAAGGGGATTATCATGAAAGGAAATACAATTTCGTGTTGTATTTTAAAGCCAGTATTTATCAAATGCAGTGGGAGAAATAAATATATTTTGTACAAATCAAAAGGACACAGAATACAGTGTGCATGGGCATAGTTTCCATAGAAGTTTCATGTTTCAAATCGTATGTCAACTATTATATCAAATATTTTAATTTGAAGCAACTCATTATGGAATATTATACTAATTACACAGATGAATAATGTTTTAATTACTCTCTTTTTTTTTAAGTGAGAAAGCAGGATTTATTAAGAGGACACAAAAGCTCCCACAGTGGGAGGGGACCCGAAGGGGCTGCCCCTTAATTACTCTCAATACCTGTATTCATTCTTGTTTTTCAAAGAAAAAAATGATGAAATCACATATTTTTACTACCTACTTGAATATTTGATGATTTAAAATAAGCACTATTGTGTGAGCATGACTGTCTCTGTGTTTGTGTTTGTTTTCTTACATTTTCTAGCAAGGCGTTTAATCTCTCAGACATGAAAGAGTAAATTTACAATAAATCATTATTTCACATTTTCTAATTTTTATCACATTCTGAAGTGAGTCATACTATCATAGAAAATATGTACAATGTCAATATTTCTTATCCACAACTGAAACAGGCTTGCCTAGAAAGCCTTTAGAAAATTCCATCTGTGATCATTTCATATATTTGAAATCGCGTATTTCAAATTTAAGCAGTGCACATATAAACTTTTCTTTTGCCAAAACACGTAAACGCTTTTGAAATGTAAAAGGACAAAAGCAGAAACTTTTTATTTGTATTCCAATTTCAAATAGATTTGTTTACTTTCACGAGTTAAAATCACAATTTTAACATTCTCTTTGCTCTCACATCCCTGAAAGCGAAGTGAAAAAGATTGTTTTACAAACAGGCTGGAATTAAGTTTACTTGCTATTTATTCCAGCAGCTTTCGTGTCCTTCTACACTTAACCCTTGCCCTTGTACCGCCATTCTCTACAAATTACCAGATTTCTGTTCAGAAGGTTAATTTCTAATTTGGGGATAAATACAGCACTTGCCTCTCACAGCAATCAATTCTTTTCAACACTAGATTTTAAAAATCAACAGCGTGGCAGTGTGGTTTTCTAGGTCACTTCTCTCATGTTTGTTTTTTTCTGAATGGTAGGCAACTTACCTTGTGCTTTCAGATTCTGAGACATAAAATTAAAACGCTACCGAAATCCCTTGCTCCTTTGGGTAGAGGGTCTGAGGAGGCAGAAACTAACAAGCTCGTTTTTCTGCCAGAGGCAAATGTTGATTTCAGCTTCAGACGCCCAGAGGGCCCCAGAGGCCGGCTGGGAGTATCACGTGCTCGGCCCAGCCACTCAGCCCTGCCCAGCCGGCGAGGTCACCTCTTGGCTCTGGAGGCCCGCCGTGCCAGTGCAATGCCGCTGGCCTCCGACCCTCGGTGTTTTCGTGCCAAGAGAGATCCCAGCGTCCCAGAGCCAGGACGCCCCTCCCTCAGAGGCTGGGCTGCACGGAGTACTGCGACCTGAGTTCCCAGAATCAATGAGAGGTGGTGGGTATGTAAAATACCCTCCTGCGGTCTGAAGAGGATGGTAGCACCCTAGCACAGCCCTGCTGTGTTCCGGCTTGGCTGAAATGACTAAACACAAGCACCTTCCTCACCGTTTTGTTTTGTTTTTGGTTTTGGTTTTGGTTTGTTTTTTGTTTTGTTTTGTTTTGTTTTTTGCCAGCAGGTTCGTTTCACCTCCTCTTTTTCCAGGTGATTGCTCAATTGTAAAAAAAAAAAAAAAATTACAGCATACAAGTAATTCCCACAAGGCTTAAAAACTGGGCCATTCAATTTTCAACAGAATGAGGTAACTCTCCCAACATTCTCCACCCTCGCTAATTAAATTATCAATTTGGCAAAGATTAAAAACAAAAACCTGGTACCACCCATGAGAATGTAAATTGAGCGATCTTTCTGGTGAGCTGTTTAGCAATTCCTACCAAACGCCTTACAAATATACACTTTGACCAATTAATTACTCTAGGCCCCAACAGCTTTTGTATAATTTGCTCCAGTCATGTTATGTCCGCAAGTTTGCCCTGGGAGGGGGGAGGGGGGCGGAGGAGAGAAGGGGGTGCAAAGAACCAACTAGGGAAAGTTTGCTGCAATATTATTTATGATTTCAAAGCACTGGAAGCAAGTTAAACCTCCAAAAACAGGGGATGCTTTAAATTCTAAGACATTTGTAAATGGAAGAATTCAAACTAATATAGTGGTAGATAATTCTGGATATAAAAAGACATTTGCAGTAGATTAAATGAAAACATGAATGCTTCAAAGCATATGTGCTGAGTGATCCATTTGCTGTATGCAGGTGCTGCACAATTATATCAACATGTATGCCTTTATATATAAAGCTAGAAAATAATTAAGAAATGAATTCAGGTATCAAACATGATATTTCACTGGTTAGTAGGATTAAGGGTGTTTTAGATTTTTCTTCTTTTTGGCATAACTATATTTTCTACTTTTTCTACAATTAATGTGTATTGCTTTTGTAACAAAAAAATGCTTCTCTTAAAAGCACCATAGTAGACATCATGGAATAAACAGTTTTGGCTAATTTTTAATGCAGATTTTATTACATGAAGATTCTGAAATCTTAATTCCAAAGTCTCGAGAGAATAATTTGTAGCCATTCTAAATTATTCTGCTCATGAAAATCTTTAGGGAAGAAGATGCCACTCAGGGGCCACTGTTGATGTTTGATTGTCTATATGTCCAGTGTCCCCCACTTTCTCTTATCCTGCCCTGTGTGGAGACAGGAAGTTAGTTGTTACCATCCTTCATAAAAAAGATCTTCAATCAGTTATAGTATAACGATTGAGCTTTTATTTCTCTATACTGACTTCTTCCATTTTCTTCACAGATTTCTTTTTTTAATCCCTTTAAATCTTCTGCATTTTTTTCTTTTGATGATCTGCCACTTTTCTACAAACGTCACACAGGGTTTAAAACAGTGGTTCTTAATAGGGCGTGTCCCCAGGGGGCATTTTTGGCTGGCACAGCTGGGCATATGGGGATGGGACAGCTCTGTGCTCCTGGCCAGGTAGAGGCCAGGGATTCTGCTCAACATCCTACAGTGCACAGGACAGCACCCTTCTCCCTGTGACAATAAACCATCCAGCCCAAAATATCAATAGAGCCAAGGTTAAGAAACCCTGGTTTAGAATTACTTATAAGGTATAATTTGATTTCCAGAATGTTTCATTACTTTTTTGAATTGGAGTCTCACTCTGTTGCCCAGACTGGAGTGCAGTGGCCCCTCCCGGCCACCGCAGCCTCGACCTGCTGGGCTCCGGCGATCCTTCCACCTCAGCCTTCCAAGTAGCTGGAACTACAGGCGTGTGCTACCACACCCGGCTAGTTTTTTTGATTTATTGTAGAGATGAAGTCTTGCCAAGTTGCCCAGGCGGGTCTCGAACCCGCGGGCTCAGGCAATCCACTCACCTCAGCCTCCCAAAGGTGCGGGATTACAGGCTGAGCCACCGAGCCCGGCTTGCCCAGCCATCTTAAAGAGGTTCCCCATTGTATAACATGCTGGAAGCTCTGCTTCATTATGAATCTGTTCGAGGTGGTATGACTGACCTGTGGGAAGTGCCTATCTGTCAAGGGTGTTATCTCTCTGGAGAACTGTGTGGCTGGGCACAGATGCGTGGGAAATTTTCATCAATTTGGGAGTCACTATATGATTTTAAATAGCCATTTTCCATGCCCCTTATATTCATGCAGCAAATGCACAGTGTACAGAGCACATTCTTCTCCAGTATGTTGTTTGACTCTCGGGGCAGCTCGTTAACAGGAGTAGGGTTGATCAAATGCTGTGCCCCCATTTTGCAGACAGGCTCAGAGACAACCTGACATCAGCCTCCTGCTCCAGCTGAGAGGAGCGCCCTGGGGTCGAGCTGGGTCCTACTCAGGTGCCCTGGCTTCTCCCCCAGGTGCCTCTCTGATCATGCCTCTCCCCTCTGCCAAGCCACAGTTCCCTGGGACCCTCTAGTGTAGCAGCACTCACCAGGTTAGACTCAAGTCACTTGCTCACATTAACCCCCGAGCTTCTGGAGGGAGAGAGAGAGAGCTGAATTCACCTGTTTTTGAAAGCCCAGCATGTAGCACTGTCTCTGAGATACAATGCTTGTTAGACCAGAACTAAGATTGTCCCCAAATGTTCCCAACCAAAAGTTATCACCTCTAATCACACACCATTGTGAAATAGTACATGATTGTATTACAGTATTACTGTCTGTGCTATTTTGCCAAGCCTCTGCAAGCCTCAATTTTCCCTTCTGTAAAATGCGGAAAAGAAGGAAGAATAATAGAGTCCACCACTTGGGGACGCTGTGAGTCTTACATGAGAGATCTGGAAAGTAAACAGTGCCTTATCCAAACCTGAGACACGAGGAAAATGTGCCCCCCAATACAATTATCAAAATATCTTCTTATACATTGAACCAAGTGGGCAAAGTTAATAAAGACTCTACAATCAAACACACATAGAAATTATATATAAAGTCTCTCGTAGCCCAATTTCTTTCCACGCCACTGTCAGTCCAGGTGAAATCCTCCTTCAGGGACATGCCAGTCAAGTATGATTGGAAATGATTGTCCCCTTGCACAATAATGCAGGGTCGTCAAACAAACAACAGCTTGCCCTTATTTAAAATGTTTATAGTTTGTGCATTGTGAATTTTTGCATTAATTTATTTTTATAAATCATATATTGTGTTGATTACTGATTTTTGGTGTCCCCTGAAATTTTGCACCCAAGGTGAGTGCCTCCCTCATCTCCAAATTCCAGCCCTGTGCATCTGGTAAATTATTCTATAAATGTTGGGT